CGGTTTAACATATTCTATGAATTTCGTTTAGATTACTAAGGCCAAAAAGTCCTCTATCGTAAATTCACTATTTACGTCTCCCGGTGTCGTGCCGGTTTTGCCGTAAAACTTCGACGGGCCATAACTTCTTCGTTATAACTCGGATTTCGGCGTTACTTATATGTACGGAACCCTTGTAACATATACTACCATTTGGAGATTACTCCTTCTAAATAATCTTCCATTAAAAACTCATTTTTGAGGCTTATTGTCTCTAAATTGACTAGCCCGAATCTGCGGGCGTTACAATTATCTCCCCCTTAGGATGATTACGTCCCGGAATCATCAACGAAACAGGGCTTGTATAATGAATCCATATGTTATCTCTTCATCCTATGTAATAACCGTAACTTCTATGCCGCTTTGAATAAGTATCTAACTCTTGGACTGCAGGCGATGCTTGATCTTGCACCTGTTCCCTATCTCACGCTAGACTCCAAATTATGACCTTCAAGTCATGGTCTCGATCCTTACTGGAGATTCCTTCTTCTTCTTAATAAACTTAAGATAAGTTATTTTGAGTTCCACAATAGACCGACGGGTCACGTTCTAATGACCTCTCATCGTATGTTGCAACGCTTAGACTCAGGTCTTTTAGAGTCAAATTCCAGAACTGACTACTCCTTCCTTCATGTTCTAATGTGATATAATCACATTCTAGTATGTAACATTTCTAGCTACCAACTCCTTTAACAATTAGCGCGATACCTCTATTGATCGCTTCGATTATTTTTCACTTCAATATTCTGGCTTAATCAGATGCTACATCAAACTTGGTTCTGTGATCCACGTAACATACTCGTCTTAGTCAGACTCGGTTTGATATGACCACTAGGGTCGGAATAACAACAATCTTCTTAGTCATTACCGAAACAATGGTAACGACATACTTGAATAAAATGAAATCAATTACTAGCTTCTTGGTAACCTTGTGACTTTCCCTGATCCAAGTGCGAGTCCTGTGCTTCCGGTAGTATAGGCCTCCACTACCATTCACACCTACTCATACTCTTCCCAAGTATTGTCTCGCAGTTCTCCAAGTCATTATCACAAAAACAATTTTAACAAATACAAATGTGTCCAAACAATCATATAATTTTCCCTAGACTCTACTAGGACTTCTTCCATGCGTATCTTCAATCATCAAAACTGCTTCAACTCGGTTGGTGATGGAAATGTCAGACGATGGGATAACTTCATGGATTATACCAAAAATCTTTCTTTCTGCTAATCTAAAGTGTACTTCTCCCGTACTAGACGTATTATTTCTTAGACGCGTTCTAAAGGCAAGATATCACTCTTACGATATCTTCCGATAGGTACCACTCAGTATCGTAAGCCTTCTCATTTCCTCCATTACTCAATTCACTACGAGTCTTCACCATGATGTTTTGCACACCAAAGCAGTCGTTTATTGTGTCAAGACGAGAATATAGATAGAGGAAGGTTTAGACGCGTATTCCTCCTTATTACTTCGAAAAATTACATGTCAGTTCTAATATCGTAATTAAACGTTTAGAAATCTGAACATATAAAATTTCCAGATCTGGTCGGCAACAGACCATAGATCCGATCAAACGATAGCATAAAGCATCAAAAATTATTAAGCACATAAAAGCATTTTAGGCATCTTCCCTAATTAAGCTAGTGCTTGCGTCTATTCAGGCGTACTTCCTAAATATATATTTGACACACTCCTCACGATCATCGCTTAGCATTCTAAGTTTAAGTCTAGAAATAAATCCTTATTCCTAGTTGGCTTAAACTAATGCTCTGATACCAACTGTGACATCCCCATTTTCACGGCCAGAAAAGACCGATTTTGTTTAAGCTTTATAAAATCAGAGTACCTCTTTTAATAAAAATGTTCCCCAGAAATCGGAATTTGTTCCCCAGAAAACATGATAAATAGGTTATCAAAGCATTTCCGAAGAAATGTATTTTTATTCATTTTCAAAATATTGGGATGTCATCGTCAATACAGAAACATAAACATAAACAGAACTTACATTTATTTACACTAGTGATCTATATCTCTTTTAAATCTCTCAGTGTAAAGTAGCTTCGTATCGACACCTGTGATACAAATAAGCTGGAGTGGGTCAGGTTGGGAAACCTGGTGAGTACATAGGGTTTTCAACCCACAATAATATAATTATTTATTTTTAAACAACAAACAATCAACCCAATTTACTCATCCCCATTATCTTCCTCACTCTTAAGGGTCCACCCTAAGAGTATTCTATCTTGCATTCGTTCATTCCGAAGTCCATTGCTTCCAGGGTTTATAAGACAGGCACTAAGTCCATAGCTGCCAATGCTCATTTGTAAAGCACTAAATCCAGAGCTGCTAAAGTTCATTCATCGGGTACTAAATCCATAGCTACCAGTGTTTATATAATAGGTACTAAGTCTATAGCTACCAGTTTATCTATCAGGTACTAAGTCCATAGCTACCAACGTTTATCCATCAGGTACTAAGTCAATAGCTACCAACGTTTATTCAATAGGCACTAAGTCCATAGCTGTCAATGTTCACTCATATCATCTTTTATATCTCATCCTTCATCTACCCATGTTATACCCAACATATTTGTAGATATAAAATACATATACATTTTTAAATCATTTAAAACATGTATAAAATCGTTCATCCAGCATAGATAGCAAGTTCACATGTTATATGCACACATAGCACGTAATTTATATAAAATACATCATATCTATGTGTAAGATGAAAGTAACTATGCACTCACCTGATAAGGTGGTGACTCGGTACTCGGACAACGCTTCGTTACTCTTAAAATAATTTTCCCTTGACAAAACCTAGTATCATTACCACTAGAGTTTAGTCTAAGGTTCGACGAGACTAATTAATAGTCTAGCTATTGTTACTATTATATAAGCATTAAACAATACTAAGGCCAAAAAGTCCTCTATCGTAAATTCACTATTTACGTCTCCCGGTGTCGTGCCGGTTTTGCTGTAAAACTTCGACGGGCCATAACTTCTTCGTTATAACTCGGATTTCGGCGTTATTTATATGTACGGAACCCTTGTAACATATACTACCATTTGGAGATTACTCCTTCTAAATAATCTTCCATTAAAAACTCATTTTTGAGGCTTATTGTCTCTAAATTGAATAGCCCGAATCTGCAGGCGTTACATTCTCCTACCTTAGCTATAGTAAATTTGCTAAGGATTTGGCAGAAATGATCCTTCGTTTATATATACATGTTCAATTGTGTCTCATTTCTGGTCTGTGTCTTTTTGTGGCATTATTTACATTGTTGTGGGCACGTGTTGTTTCTATGTTGCCTCACCGTTATTTCACCCAATCGGATTCCGATTTGTGTAAACGAAGGTATAGACCTGCAAAATCTGACACGACACGACAACCCGACACGAACCCGACATGAAGTTAGCGGGTTAGGGTCAGAGATTTGGACCTGTTTATGTACACGGGTTGACACGGGTTGACACGACACGACACGATAATAAAACGGGTAGGGTTAGGGTCAAGACTTTAAACTCGAAGATGACTCGAAGATGACCCGTTTAATTATATATATATATATATATATATATATATATATATATATATATATATATATATATTATTTCATATTTTTATAAATATTTTCAATATTATACATTTGTAGTGGCCCAAATTCAAGAACTAAAAGTCAAATTCCAAATTTCAAAGTGACTTAATTTTACTCCTCCTCACTACATATCTCATTTGTTTCCTAACTCTAACTCTTTTCATTTTGATTTCTAAACTTACTACTACCTCCGTCCCATATTTATTGTCCAATTTTGACTTTTGAAGTCTTTATTCTTCAAATTTGATCTCAAATATTTTTGTTTTTGATATATAACACTTAATGCAAAATATATGAATGGATTGTGTTTTAACTGTCTTTTCATTGTTATAAGTTTTATCAAGTAATTTATAACACAAATAAAAATATTTAAGGTCAAAGTAGAAAAATAAAAACTTCAGAAGTAAAAAATGAACAATAAATATGGGACGGAGGGAGTATAATTTTTTTTCCGTTTTACCTCCCAACTCTAGCATTTCACCTTTTCATTTTTTTTCCTCCATGACTCTTACTTTTCAACCTTTAAAATGTTTAAACCCGACATGACACAACATATTTATAAAGTTTAAACCTTAACCCGAAACCCGACACGAAATCGACACGAAAATAAACGGGTTGACACGACACGACACGATAATTAAACGGGTCGGGTTAGGGTCAAGCACTCTCAACCCGTTTAATGTCTTGACACGGCACGAACCCGACACGACACGACACGTTTTCGGGGTGCCGGGTCTACGAAGGTACTGATTCAATCTCACCGCCTCTCTTATCAGATATCTTCCGTTTTCGACTCCACTCCCCACCTACACTCTTCGTCTTCTCTCATATGCATCACCACCTACCACCACTTCAATTTCCATTCATCTACATGTACATCTCCACTTATTCCGATTCTTCAACCTTCGAACTTTTTCGGTCGACATTTCTCAATTTCTTCATCTCCTTTTCTCGGTCGATCTACATTCACACCGCCACCACCATAAATTCCATCGTCGCCCCGACTCCTTCAAACTCTGTTTCAAAATGAGTGCTTCAACATTCAAAGCCAGCCTCGGTATCGGACTTTATCGGCTAGCCACCGGTTCTGATTACCCCGACTTTTCTCAACGGTTTGAAGTTTTAGAATCTGTAGCGAACTAATCACCGACTCATTCAAAAACCCTAGCAGGTTTGCCCAATTGTTCTGGAGTTGCTTCCAATCAGACACCATCGACACCATCATCCGTCTGTAAGCCCTAAAATTCATGGCTTTTGAAATCCTAAACGAACACCACTCAAGGTCTCTTTATAAGTCGTCTGATTGTGTCTTTGTGTTTTACTGTATGCGCTTGTGTTTTTAACTAGGTGTTTATGTCTTCTTCTATATTCTCTATAGATTTCTTTCGCTTCCCTTCGATCATCTTCAGCATGTCGGTGGTTCAAAAAGAAGTGAAGATTTTTTCGGCGAACCCTCAATCTTCCATTTTGGATCCTGGAGCCCTAATTTGTGCATCAACAGACAACACGTTAAAGCTTTGGGACCTCAATAAACCAGCCAAATTTGTTTGTTCATCAACCACAACCAGCAGTTGCATGTTAACCTTTAAAGGTCATACTAATGAGAAGGTATGTTATTACATTTATTATATTCTCTTGATGATAATATTCTTCTTATTTTCTCATTCCTTATTGATTTTCTGTCTCAGAACTTCGTTGGTTTATCTGTTGCTGATGGATTCATTACATGTGGTTCAGAAACTAATGAGGTATTATGCCTATGCCCTATTTCTGTTTATCATTTTGAGAATTTGAAATTTTAATGGAATGGTGATTTCAATTAATTGTCACATGTTTGTAGGTGTTTTCTTATTATCGACCATTGCCTATACCTATCACTTCCCACAAGTTTTGGTCTATTGATCCTATTTCTGGAAAAGATACTGAAAACGAAAGCAATCAGTTTGTTTCAAGCGTCTGTTGGAGACAAAAATCAGACATGGTGGTTGCTTGTAACATACACGTTTTGAGACCGTGTTTTATATAAATAATATTATGAAATATTATGTGATATTGAGTATTGAGTTCTAACAGATAGTTTTTACTAGAAATAAGGTAAAACTATGTTTAGAATCACTCATAAACTATTGGAAGTCTTATGAGATTCCAATTAAAAGCTAAATAGTGAAATTTAGCGAAAATATAAATTTTGAAATAAGTAAAATTTTATTATTGAAAGTTGTAGATAATCTCATTAGAAACACGTAGGCGAAAACCTCGTCGAAATCCGAGTTATAACGAAGAAGTTATGACCAATCGAAGATCCGCGATAAAACCGGCACGGTGCCGAATGACGTAAAAATTGAGTTTTTGATAAACTACTTTTTAGCCTTAGTGATCTAAATGAAATTCGTAGTATTCGTTAAACCGATAAGTTTGATAAAAAGAACGTCAAAATCTGACTTCGTATGAGGAAGTTATGATTTTTACAAGTTTCAGCTTAGCAGTAGACAGCTAAAAACTCGAATTTTAGATCGAGTGATTTTTAGACGACACAACCTAAACGAGAATCGAAGGTCTCGTCATTAGTAGTACAACGGTAAAAAGTCTGACGAAAACGGACGTCGGATGAAAAAGTTATGAATTTTTAACGGATTTACCAGTCCCGGTCTGTTAAAAATAATAATATAAAAATAAAGTCAAAATTTTCCGACGAAGTCTAAATGAAAGTTGTAGAGCATAATGTTCTCTACGCGTGCATATAAAGAACGTCAAAAACGGAGTCCGTATGAGAAAGTTATGGATTTTACAAGATTAGGCACATTTTTCGAGAAATTTCGCATGAATAGTGATTGCCACGTCACCCTCGCTCGGAGTTGGCCACGTGTCCGAAGCTGCTGCGTGGCATGTCCGAGAAGCGACGCGTGTCGCACAGGTGTCTGAAGGGCCACGTGATCCTCGCATGTCACACGTAATCCGACCCTCGTGTTGGCTCCTGATTCGACCAAGGCTCCTGACCCGATCCGAAGCTGTAGACGCGTCACCTGACCAATCCGAGGCTCGCACCTGTCCGTCTGAGCCTCGCGCTACTGCCACCTATTCCGAGCCTCGCAGACAGCTGTTCTCTTCCCCTCGCTTCGGATCTGAGGCTCGCACCTATATAAGGGGTGCGAGACCTCTCGGGTAAATGTTAGAATTTTGCCCTTTTTCACCCCTTCGCCTATATTTCTTACATTCCGACTTCCCCCAAAGCCCCGGTACTTATTCCAAAGCCCGAAACACGCCCCGAGATTCCCGAGAAGCCAAAAAAATTTATCTTTTCGGTTTCGAAGCCCAACCCTCGCAGGGCCCGGTTTTCAAGAAAACTCCCGGTTTTCAACAAAGAAAGTTATATTTAAAGCCGAAGTACTGCCCAAATTACTATTTTGACCCCCGGTTATTTCACAGTGAGTTTAATATATAGGAACAATTGTATGTTATGTGTTATATGTGCTATGTGCTTTTCCATGTTATCATCTCGAGTTGTTGTTTCCGCTATTTTTATAGCAAGGTTGTACCTCTGACTTGAAGTGTATGACATAAGCATCACTTGGGTATTGGTATGAACCGTTGACCATGAAGTGTATGACATAGGCATCACTTTGGCTTCGGTATTATGCTAAGATAAGGCTGAAAGCCTAAATATTCTAGCAAAATGATATTCCTGAGCATTTTCTGTGCCATTTGTGCTGAAACTTTATTGATTTTATATCAAGTATGAAATTGTTATGTCTCATTGATTGATATGGAAAGCTTTTCGCATTATGCCCTTGTTGTTCCTTGTTCTTCTTTGATTCTGGCATATTGAAGTATATATATGGCATAACGTTATATTGTATCTATTATTGAACTCATTAAGCGTCACCGCTTACCCCTCTCAATGTTTAACTAATTTGCAGGAGATAAGCTTCCAGTATAGTTATGTATTGATAGAAGATATTCGAATAGTTTGAAACTATTGTATTTTGCGCTCCCATATGTATAAAACTATAGAATCCTGGGGAGTTATGTAATATATAACACTTGAAATAGTTGGTTTGTATCCAGTAGTTTGTAACCGCTTTATCAATATAAAATATTGTTTTATGAATATGCATGTAGCATGTTTCGGAGTAGCAATTGTTATATATGAAAGTGTGGGTCCTTTCATTGTTGCCTCAAACTATTGCAGTGTTCTTTTTCAGATTAGGTTTTGAAAAAAATTACTCCTTTTAATTTTGAATAAATGGCTTTAAATGGGAAACTCTGGTGTTGGGAAAAGTTGCATTGTTCTTTGCTTTCTTCGTGGTCAGTTTGATCCAACATATAAGATTTCATATTAAAGTTTTCATATAGGTTTTCCATTTAAATATTTGATTTGATATATTTTTATCATGCTATTCACTTGAATTTACCACTTTACTATTTATCTGATAAGGTGACATTTCTACATTTGGGGATGTATGTGTGTATTTACATGTATAGGTGTGTGAATCAGTCTGTATATATGGATTACTGAACAATCAATCTAAATTTGTTTCATTAAATTTTGATTGTTCGGGTTGAAGGATAACTTTTTTGTTTATTTGGCTTACCTGGTAGGACATGTACCATGTAAGGATGAATTTGATATATGGTTAATTGTACTTTATGATAAACTAAACTCATGTTCACATGGTATAACTTTTGGAACCATGCAGATCATTAGTACATGGCAAAAAAAGAAAAAACCAGTCCTATCCAATCTAATGATTTTTTAGTACATGGCAAAAAAAAATCAGTCCTATCCAATCTAATGATTTTAAAAAAGGATTCGCATGGGTCCTTTTCCTAGTTAAAATTATTTAACCTGTATTTATCGACTTACAATAAAGATTTCTTTAGAGTCAGAATGGGTTGTACCCCACTTCTCCCTGTTTTTTTTTGTTATAAGTAGTCCATACCTATTAAATTTTATATGTATTAGGCCTAAAGAGATAAAATTTGGGCTCCCCCCACCCCTTTAATTTGTATTTATCGACTTACAATAAATATTCAGTGGTTGAGCTTCTTTAGGGTCAGAATGGGTTGTGCCCCCCTTCTCCCTGTTTTTTTGGTTATAAGTAGTCCATACCTATTAGATTTTATATGTATTAGGCCTAAAAAGATAAAATTTTATACATATAAGTTAATATATTTGTTTTTTTGGTTATAAGTAGTCCATACCTATTAGATTTTATATGTATTAGGCCTAAAAAGATAAAATTTTATACATATAAGTTAATATATTATGGTTGCTAAATTTAAATTATTTAACTTGTATTTATCGACCTACAATAAAGATTCAGGGGTTGAGCTTCTTTAGGGTCAGAATGGGTTGTGCCCCTTTTCTCCCTGTTTTTTTGGTTATAAGTAGTCCATACTTATTAAATTTTATACGTATTAGGCTTAAAAAGATAAAATTTGGGCTCCCCCTCTCCTTCGTTCTCTAATTTTTATACATATTATACTTTCGCCCCCACAAATCAAAAGTTCAAGCTCCGCTACTGATTATCTTTAGTATATCATTTGTTAATTGTTATTGTAAAATTTTATTGACTTGGCTAACAAAGAGACATAGAAAATAAAAATAAAACATAAAATATAAAAATAAAAAAAATGAAACTGAAACAACGTGAGAGTTTGGGTTTTCTAAATTAAAAACGAATTTTCAAATTAGATTCATTTTTTGTAAACAACTTAGAGCATTAGGTATGGGTTACGTTATAACACCAAATTCATATGCCACCTCAAACATAACACCACCATAACATCAAGGGGGAAATGGTGTTCCTCATGTTATAACATGTTAAGAGCTAGAGAGAGAAAGAAAGAAAAATATTTGATTGGTTGATAAAGGCAACAACATATTAAACTTCCCGTTCCATCTTGTCTTCGTCACAACGAGAGATGCTGTAACACCCGTTTATTTATTTAGTTAAATAAACAAATTAATGAAGGAATAGTAGCCCTAAAATTAATAATTATATAGCAATGTGTGATTTCGAGGAGTTAACTGTCATAATTTAGAAGTTGAGGGTTAAAAGTGTAAGTTCCGAATTGGTTTTGTAAATAATTAGGAAGGCAGGGACTACTTGGTAAATTATTGGGACTTAATCTGAAAGAATTTTGAAGACTAAGGGCTATTTGGGTAATTTCGGATTTAATTTGAAAAGAAAAGAGGTGGAAGAGTTGAATATATCATAATTGAGATTTTGGGGGTTAAAAAGGTAATATCTGGAGTAGTTTTGCAAAAGATTCTCAAGGCAAGGGTTGAATGGTAACTTAGAGACTGATTTTGAAAAGATTATTGATGTGAGGGGCTGGAAGTGTCAAAATCTTATGTAGTTGTATGGGACACGGGTTAGAACCCGTCACCCTAATTCGCAGCCTCCATATATATGAATTATTCCAAACCCTAACCCTAAGAAGATTCAGCCGCCACCACCACCTTATACATCCCTCCAGCCGCCACCATTCACCTCTTCAATCTCCGGCGCCGCTGCTACCTCCGACCACCAATGTCGGGAACAAGAACCGGTGGCGTGAACCACCGAGCCGATGCTGTAGTCGCTGCTGCTTCCTTGCGTAGTCGTCGATGAAGCCGGAACCGACGCCATCAGCCGCCGTTTGCATTGTCGAGCTCGACTGTTACCGTTTCTGCCGCTGCACCGCTTCAGTGAAAAAGACGAAGTCAACGCCCATCGCCAGCTTCTGTCCAAGTAGACGTCGTGGTGAGCCACCTTTCTCGGTTGGAAGCGAGACGATCTTCTATCGTCGACGGCCGTCACGCGTAGCTGGAGAAGAACCGCCGTGACCGGTCGAGTTTGATGTTGTTGGGTTCGTCATTTCTGTCGCCGGCATGCGACTGTTCCACTGTAAAGTCGCTGCCGCCGCCGCCTAGCACCACAAGATTCCGATGGGTGTGTGTTTCTTTTCGTGTTCAGCTCAAGAGTTGCGTATTTTGGTGTTGCTGAACAAGGGAGGGTGCGCTTTTTTGACCGGTAACCACCATGGCAGCCAACCATGGTGGCTGCCGCCATACGCCACCGCCGGCCACCACAAGGTGGTT